TGTGCGATGTTACGAAAAATTTTGGTATGTCCGGAAAATTTTTTGACCCCTAAAATGGCACACTGACGAAAAATTTTTTGGCGACGGGGGGGGGGGGAGGTCGCCAAAATAATATTTGGTACTAGTCGGGCACAATCACGTAAAGTCGGGCAATTTTTTTTCCGCCCCCCTAAATTTTTCCTTCCGGTACGCCCATGTAGAAAGCCAGACTGAGAATGACAAAGCATGATAAATTGCTAGTTCTGAAAGATTGAATATTTATTTAAGCTAATAAACAAGGGTTCAGAAAATTTGTTGCAGTAACACTTTAGTTAGAAAATATCAAAATGTTAAACAGGAGGGATTTCATCAAATCATTTTTTTTTTCAATTTGGAAAGGCAATATCCTGTCACCATTACCACAATAATACCCCTCACTGCTGTGTGTAGCTACAAATGATTACTGACTTGGTCAACAGTCATACACTGAACCATATATGGGTCGATGAGCACACCCGGCCTCCATTTGTACAAATAACTTATACAACACCGAAATAAAGCCAAGAACATTTTAATTTTCAAATATTCTTGCTACATCAAAAGACTGTTTAACCAAATCTATGAAGGTGCACAGTAAAGTACAGTTCAACATCAAACACTAGGTCTTCTATTTTGTAGCTTTGCAGTTTGCAGGCTTCCAGACCATCATAATGATCATATCTTGACAAACTATTGTTTGGTCTATAAAAGACTTAGTTCCTTCACTGTCCCTCGAACAAAATCGATCATAAGGAAAATTTTTAGATATTAATCACAAGGCGTAAAATTGCATTACGTATAACTATAGTCTATAAACAACTCAAATATTAACATTAAATTTATGTTCCTCTTCAAAGAATATTCATTGAAAAACTATTTGTTTGAAATAAGACGTTAATTATTCAGATTCACCTGCTTTTGTTGGTAGGGTTTATTGTTTTACTATTTAGATATATAATATATTCATTGACTCGTGTACATTGCAGTTCCTGTCTTCGTTAGAAACATACTAGAACTTAATAACATTTTGTCAAATGAACTTAAAAGCTTTCATTTTGTTTTCCTTTACAAAAAAGTTATCGATGAATGCACAAAGTTGTTAAAATTTGCTATTTCCTCTTCGAAACAAAATTGTTCGCTCCTGACAGCCGTCATTTTACATTGCACAGAAATACATAATTATGCAAAACATATGCATAAATTTAAATATTAACCTTGACGTCACAGACAAGAAATATTAACCATTGACCCAGCCGTTAAGTGGGCGAGTGGCGAGAACACAACGGCTGGAATCTGAGCCTATACAGGTTTTGGATTGCATCAAATTTTATTTAAAAAATTATAAATTTCAAAGTCACGAGCAATTAATCAAATTTATTTCGTGCGGGAAGTTGTCTGTCTGTGTCTGACATGTTGAACTACAAATACAAACAATATCAGAAAATGATGTTATTTATTTATGTAATTAAAATATCATGATTATGAATTAACATTCATTCCTATTACTACAATATTACTTCGAAGACATCGAATTTTTCCAATAAATAAACCAAACTATCATATATTAATATACTGTACTTTATACTTTGTAAGTAAACAACATGTATTAATACGTTTAAATTTCGCATTTAGCAATTCTTTAACAGCTCATAACCAACAGAAATGTATTCACTAACCTTCAAATTACAACCAGCAGCCGTGGTTTGTAATTTGAATCGTTCGTTTGCGAAAAATAGTCGATTTATTCAGCCAAATGGCCATTCTGCAATACAAATCTCTAATAAATTGACTGGCTTTACTGGCTGCGAGTAATTAGAGCGGGCAATTTCCGGTATGCGCGAGGCGACATGCGCGGCTTCAAAAACTTCAAAGGTTCCGACGCGAGTTGCCCTTCTATTCATTTCTTATTCTATTGTATCGGGTAGATTGTGGCATGAATAATCGGTAATTTCCGATTGTTGCACAATCGGTAAATCGCTAAAGGAAAGTAATCTCCAGATTGTCTTCCTATAGGAAGAAAAATATGTTTTCTAGTCCAGGATATTTATGACTGTTCTGGAAGTAAACTACTATACAGTACCTAAAAACTTATCATGTGCAATAAAGTGTGGATTGGCCAGTAGCTATATATTGATACGGCAGATACATGTCACAAACAATATAGCCGACCCTGAGAAATATTCATGGCATGTTTGTCAAAACATTTGACAAATTTAAATCTAATAAAAAAACAAGTTTACATGTGCCCATTATTAGGCGTGAAACAAAATACCTGTGGTTCCGGTTTCATATCGTGAAAAAATTAGGGTCGGTAGGTCGGAATAAAATTTTTTTTAATATTTTTGTCATGGTTTTGGCGATTTTTTGCTGGGCGATTTGCAGTAGAGTCCCGACATCAATATTAACTAGAGGTGCGTATTTCCTATGGACGAATTGAGGCAATTTGGTTCAATAATTAGTGTGACAACAGACGCCATTTTGGCACGCTGTATGAGCAGCCCGAAACCACCTGGAGAAAATAGGGTCGCACAGTCAATCCCGTTGAAAAAATAACAGGGTCGGCAGAAAAAAATAGGGTCGGTCGGGAACCAGAACCACAGGTATTTTTTTATGCCTTAAGATGGAATGGGGCCGGTTGCAGGGTCTTTGCTAGGATTTTTGATCTTGGGCGTGTTTCTAAATGACCAGGGTGTGCACATGTCAATTACCTTGAATAGCCAAATTCACGGTTCTACAACAAAGGACAATGCCTGTGGTGGTTCTATGCTTTGCAACCAAATACAAGGCGAGCATATACTCATATTGCGCACTAATATTAAAATATTAAGTTATTTCAGCAACTCTTGGGGGTATTTAAAACCACTTTAACACCTTTCGGTTCCCATTATCCATTAAAACATCACGCATCACTTTTGCCAATTTCAACAACAATAGATTTTATTAACTTTCTTATGACGTAAATAGAAATAAATTATGTCTGTTGTAAGCAGCACCATCTTATTTTATGAACCTACACGGTCTTATATAAATAATGAAGCCGCATTCATTTTATCTAGCCGTGTTTGTCTATTTTTGGCCGCGACAACACGGCCCTCTAGCTAAGACCCTGGCCGGTTGTACGAAGGCCGGATAACGCTATCCAGGGGTGGAAAAAATAGGCGAGCACGCGAGCACTGCTTGCAGGAGATATTAAACAGCTGCAGGAAATCCGTTTGAATGAAGATTTGCTATTGAAAATTTGAAGGAAACCTTAACACCCATGTCCAACTATGGACGCAACAACATATGGTTGACAGACATTTCTTGAATTGAAAACCATGGTCAGCTAGAACACTATACTGTTTATAAACACATATGCACATGCAGATTTAGCATAAAAATACTCCGTTGGTCTGCAGGACATTTTTGTCTCCAGGTTGTGCTCCCAGGAAGAAAATTATTTTTCCTGCCCTGACGCTGTCCATCGGATAGTGATTTTTTCAAGCTTTCTAAAATTGTCCGTGATTGATATAATATTTAAGTGTATAGTTTTATTAATTGCGAACTCCATATCCGTACTTTAATGGCTTTTCTAGCATTGAAAAATCGCTATCCGGCCTCCGTACAACCGGCCTGTGTACAGTAAATATAAAACACCATAAATATTCAGTTCTTTCATTTGGCTCAGTCCAAAGGAATATTATACTGGAAGCTATATAGCATACAGTGCAATTCTGACAACTTGCTAAATATTTATCTTGTAGATGTTTGGTCAGCAGGGTGTGTCCTAGCTGAACTATTACTTGGTCAACCAATATTTCCTGGTGATAGTGGCGTAGATCAACTCGTAGAAATTATTAAAGTTCTTGGAACTCCTACGAGAGAACAAATTAAAGAGATGAATCCTCATTATACAGAATTTAAATTTCCACAAATTAAACCTCATCCTTGGAGCAAGGTACGCAAATGTGTGCTTAGGCCAGTAGTGATTGACCGATAATCGGGTTCGGGCCGATTTTCGCCTCATCTGCAAGCAATCGGAATTACTATAGAATTATCTGTATCTCCGATTGTATAAGGTTCTATACCTTATTGATATATTGTTGAGAGAATACGCACTTTCAAGTATTATACATTGCGCGTAGATAGCGCGTTGATAGTGTAATTTGCTGAATATTAAAAGTATACATATACGCAATATGTTACCGCGACGAAATTAATGCGGTGAAGCATGCCATTTATGAATGGTTTTAACGAACTTTGGTTGCACGGCACTAACATGTTGCAGTATGTTGGAAATTCCATTAAAAATCAAAATGAATGACGCCACCTTTACTCGACTAACATTTTGACGTCATTATTTAGTTGATCTCGGGTAGATTGTCCCATGAATAATCGGTAATCGGTAATTTCCTATTGTAGCACAATCGGTCAATCACTATAGACAAGGGCTGAAAATTTATCGTGCCAACACTCTCGAAACTCCCATTATAGACTAATTTTAAAACTAGGCAAGGAGATGCAAATAAATATTGCGTTCGGAAATTGCTACCACATTTGGGCCGAAAATGGTAACAATTTCCGCACGCAATACAAAAGAATACAAACTTTGCAAGGTTATATTTTCCGCATTTTACAACATTTCGCAACTAAACTTTGTAATTTTACTCATTTTAGTATGCTCGTTCTAGTTGTGGTATTTTATTTGCATCTCCTTGCCTAGTTTTAAAATTAGTCTATAATGGGAATTGTCTATTGCTGTAGTTCGAGACGAAAATGCCGTGGATCACTGACGACGGTAGTTTTCTTCCACAGTGTAAATTTTTAGGAAATTGGTGTTAGTGCTGTGTGCCGGAGTTCTACCGAGGCTACGGTCTTTTTTTTATCAGCCGGAGCCGCGGTTGCGACAGTTTCTCCCAGCTCCGACTGGAAAGTCAGAATAACAAGAAATTTGACAATTTCGTAGTATTAGCGTTGGTTACAAATAATGGCAAATTAGCGTTGGTTACAAATAATGGCTGAAAGTAACATTTAATCTGAAGTCATACGTATCTGTTGTGTCAAACCAAACCATCATGTCTGTGATTTATCTATCACAGGAAACGTTGTACTGTAAATCGCTAACGTTCTGATATGCTGCATCACGTCATCATATCTTGGGGACGAAACGAAGCCGAATACTATCCGCCTTTATCCGCTTATACGTAGACTGTATCCCCCATAGAGATTATAAATAACACTAGAGGAGACATCGAGGTTAAAAATTGGGAACGCAGTTATTGGGGGGCAAATCCAACTCCCGGATATAAAATCGTACTCTCATTGGCTGATTTGAAACTCCTCACCATTAGGAACATGAATACACATGATCACATCCGGGACTTGAAAAAGTGTTTTCAGTTTAGCGTGTGTAACCGTAATAAATGTTGAAATCTGTAAGCGCAGAAGAAATACGAGAAACTTCTACCAGAACCTTTCATGGAAAATGCTGTAGAATTGGAGACATGATTGCCATACGGAAATTCCAGGAATGAGCAAGGCAGTTACAGTAGGCTCAATATAAAACCTGCATTTCTTTACCTTATGTAATCTTGTTCATGAAAATCTCCAAAGAAATCTTTCAAAATCTACCATTTGACTAAAATGTACAGTTACTAATGATAAAAAATATAGTTTGGTGTAATGTGCGAATGCTAGAGTATGTGTCATGAAAGAGTCGTACAATAGAATGTTTGGTTTATTTGAAATTTCATTGCATATTAACTTGAAGGAAAAGAAGATGCAATGCCTAATTTACACATAACTCAAGTCCTATTCAGTACTACAGTACTTCCATGCAGGTGCACATATAACTACGTGTATGTATCTATATATAATGTCGAGCGGTCGGCTCAAGTGAAGGTAGAAACAATAACAAAGACCTCAGCTCGAAACGGCGAAGTTCTGCTTGCATTTTTAAGGTACTGTAATAAAGGAATACCGAATGCATGGTTTTCGGTGCAGGATTGCGTGATCCATGCACGTAGGATGTTTCCAGACTTTCGGAAAGCGTAAAAAAGCTCGAGCCACCAGGCGCGAGTTTTTTTACACTTTCCGAAAGTTGAGAAAAGTCCCAAGTGCATAATGGATCACGCTATCCTGCACGGAAAACCATTCGGTAATTGTTTTATAAAATAACTACAGTGAAACAATGGTCAAGTTAATTCACTCTCTGTAGTTATTGTAAACCTTTGTTCACTGTTTTGATGAACTTACCGCCCGTTTAATGTACTGTTATTGTTTATTTCACGCATTGAAATGTTTTCGTTGTCCGACATTTTGAAAACCCTGCGGAAGGCATTTAAATTTTCTGTGCAGGATTGTCTCATCCTGCACGGGTATTGACCAATCGGGTTGCGTGCTTCACTGCATGTAGTTATTATATAATTCCATTTCTTTCAATCCGTCATCATCTCATCTGTCTTATCTATATAAACTAACATAGCCGACATGATTTTTTTGTAGGTATTCCGACCTCGAGTCCCTCCAGAAGCAACGTTACTTTGTAGTAAACTACTTGAATATACGCCATCAAGACGACTCTCGCCAGTTGAAGCATGTGCTCACAATTTCTTCGCCGAACTTAGGGACGCGAACACAAGATTACCAAATGGTCGAGAGCTACCTCCTCTGTTTAACTTTAGTTCTGCGGGTATGTAACATTAACACATTGTTATCAATTTATACTATCATAAATAAAGGCCAAAAGCCAACCTTTTCCAAGATTATGAATTGAACCGCAGAAGTGACAGTACATGTTGAGTCAGAGTGCACTACAATAGAAGCATACAGGAAAACGTGGAGAACAGTGGAGTTTGTAAAATAAGAAGATAACAAAGCATTATATTCGGCTTGCTACAGCAGTATGCTTTTGTCATTTGGAATGTGTACATTGATCATTATCTAAAAGTATGCCAAGCTTTAAAACGGTGTATGTATAGGTTAAACAGCAAGATTGGAGACTTTACGCCAGATAAATCTAGAGGGCCGAAAACCCCGAAGCCTTTATCCAGCTTAAAGCCGACGTTCGAGGTGTTTCAATTAACCGACTTTAATATAGCACGATTGGTGAACACCGCGGAAAAACGTCTGCGCATGCACCAAATTATGAAAATATGGCGGGGAATTTGAATATCAATTTCTAAAACAAAAACATGCTTATTAATTGGTCAAAAATTAGTAAATCAAACGAGAAAATATAGCAAATGGGTACACTAGACATTAATTGAAAGCGTCCTGGCATTTAAAGTATGGAATGAAATATAATTCATGTAAAAAAATGTTGATTTTAACGGACACGACTTCGAAATTTTTTGCAAAATTATTCAAAACAAAAATTCAAACTAAAAAGTTAAGAAAACTCTCGAAAAGTTAAGCTTCTTAACCCACTCAAATTTTAGAATAAATCCTAAAGTTTAATTATTGTGAACACGCAAATTTTTTATATATGGCGACACAGTTTTTAATTAAAGAAATGTATCTCAAACGAAAATTCGGAAATTGTCATTGCTTAGTTGATAAACAAAATGTTTCAGACGATAAATTTGTCAACAATCACCTTTAGTTCATGTTCTTGTACAATACAATTTCTTGAACCTTCTGGCTGTATTTATTTCTAGTTTTTAGAATGACATATTTGTTTTTGCGCTTGAAATCTGGCTGTAAAGACACACAATGAAGTCTCTCCTTTTTACCGCCATTTTGAGCCTTCGGAAACGTTCGGAACAGCTTCTCATCAAGTTCGCAATACTATTACAGGTAAGGTTGACGCATGCGCAGACGTTTTTCCGCGGTGTTCGATTGGTGAGGTTTTGTTCCTAAAACGGCTCTTACGCTTGCGCACTTTAATTGCTTTAATGTGAACTAGCATGCGCATTTTATCATTTAACGTCCCACAAGTGAAACGGCAAATATTTCTGGATAAATTCGTTGAGTGCAGACGTGAGAAATGTGCCTGTTGGTCCAGTTAATCTTCAGGCGTCGGATGATAGATTTTTTATCTCATTGACGTCCAGAGGGAAGAAAAGTAGGGACTTGAGTTTGTAGGCAATTATAAATTTATTATAGCCCCGGTGTGAATACGCCAGTGAATCGTGCTGTAATGATACGTAATATATGCCATCAACATGGTTATGCTGAGGAGCGAATTAAGATGCACAAATCATTTGGTTTAGGATTAATAGTACTGTATATCTAAACTCTTGCATTACCTGGTTACTTCCAGTTACAGTAACCATACAGAGAAGAAATTGGTCAAGAATTTCAGACCTACAGTCCATATTCAATGGCTGTCCAAAAGTCAAGCTAGCACGTGATCCTTGCGAGTTGTGAGTGTTCGGTGACCATGAAGTTTGTATGCATAAATCGAAAACGCACTATACTACATGTATATTTGTTTATTTCAGAACTTGCCATCAAGCCAGCTCTGAATGCTACACTGATTCCATCACATGCAAAGAATACCTCAGCAGCCACGAACAGCTCAACAGACTCCCCTACGTCGAGCCCAAGCACAAGTAGTACTGCCTTAATGGATGGTGGTACGTCTTCATCAGTGGCCACTGCTGCATCATAACAAAACAAACCGTGGAACTGCAGCAATTAGTACACAACTCATCGATTGTGTTTTCTCTTATCTTTCGAATCTTTCCATCTATTTTTAATTATCAGGAATGTGTGTTGGCGCGATGCGATTTATTTTATGTCATGATTCCGGCAGTCAGGTACGTACCAAAAGGTGATGCTCGACGTTGTACGTGACGAGCACATTGTACAGCTCTTTGTAAGAGAACCCTCTGCGATATATGTAAAAGAAACTAATACTTTTAAAGTGAGAAATGTTTAATTTTAACGTAGTCTTTTAAACTAGTTACAAAGGATTTTCATCGGCAGTGTTTTAGACTTAAATTTTCATACGTTATGCCTGTAACAAAGGCATAAGGAGTTAGTGTAAATTATTTAAACGGGACGCAGCAATATAAATATCGTATGATATTTAAAATTCTTGTAAAATACTTTGGCATAGATTTTTACTAGTAGCTGTAGCTATCATTTGTCGATGTGTAATGTGAAAATGAGGCAAATTTAATTCTTGTACAGTGTAATAACAAGTTCTCGAACAATCAGTCTTTGTAGTGTGGTATGAAAAGTGAATGTATGCTGCTTCTAAAGCAATAATATTGGTGGCAATACACGTTTGCCGGAAGTACGTTATCTTCGCTGTAGGAGCCTCAACGTCTCAATCAGAGAATTTTGGGCATCTCGCTCGATAGAATCATGGATAATAAAATAAATGGATAAGACTCTAGCTGACGTGACCTAATGTTTTCAATGGGATGATGGCGTGGTTGGATGTTGAAACCTAGTTGCAAACCAAATTCTCAAAAACGGCATGTTTAGCAATAATACAGCTAAACATTTTAGTCAAAGAGCAAATAAATATAACTACGCCATTCTACGATGAAAGCTCTAAGTATTTCCAGTCAATTTTAGCAAATATTTCAAGCACTAAACAGTGAAAAATGCATCCCAAATTTCGTTAAAATTGGTGACGCCAATTTCGTAGCTACAGATGTAAAAAAAAATACAAAACAAAGACGAAAAACATTTACCTTGAATACTTTGTCATGGCTTAGGCATGTTTTTAAAACAATTAGACCAGTTTATGCTTCAATATTACTCTTTGAAAGCGGAAATATAGCGAAACAATAAAAAAGACGAGAACTTTGGCAGTACGCGTGACGTCACAGATTGCAACTAGGTTTAGACTGTGACGTCAGCTAGAGTCCTATCCATTTATTTTATTATCCATGATAGAACCACAGCCAAAGTGACGTACGTTCCGGAAGGGTGTTTTAATAAGCGTTAATAGCCTCTTTGCAGTTGGCTAAAGCCTTGTTCACATATATCTGCGGCATGTCGGCGGGCTACTGTCGTTAACAGTTCAACCTAATAATTCACAAAAGAATGTATGCATCAACAGCTGTAAACAATAATAGCACAGGCATACCTCACGCATATGTGAACCAGACATCTCGAACTCATTCATAATTCATGAGTAAATGCGATGCATGTATGACGAGTTTCCAGGAAATTTAAAACGCCTGTGTGCGAGGCAGAGTGTTGACACTACTAGTTGTCTCGTAACCAAATACAAGACATAATGGACAAAACAACAGTAACGCCGAAAATGAACATTTGTTCATTTCGACTTTATATTTTAGTCGTCATCAGGAATGCAACAATCATTCCTGGTGATAACTAAAATAATGTTACCGTTGTTTTGTTTGTATTGTCTTAAAATACTCTTGGTTCCTGTAAAGCCTGAAGTACACCAGAAAGTACGTGTCAAATTAATTACTTTGTGTTGTATCAATAACACAAGATCTTCTACATGCAGTACATATTTAAATAATTAACAGTTTTTGTTGCAAGCCAATAAATGAATTGCAATTATCATATAACTCAAATATAAAAATACAAGCTGATGTACCGTTCAATTATTAGTAGCCCTTCCCAGGACATACTGTATAAAGTTTATCTAATGATGGTTACGGTATATCTATCAGCATTGTCAAATATGGCAATGAAATTCCTTTTTGTGGGCAGCCGCGCATGCGCAGCTAACCACTATGTGAGAGACTGAAGCGCGATCTTCCGTTTCGCTGTGGCTTTGTAGCCTTCGTGTCCGCGGTGTCCTGCTGCGCGGTTCCTTTTATCCTTGAAATACGAACCGTCTATAGACCACAGGCTAAGTTCACTAACGCTCATACCGTACAGAGATGTGTATAAATTCTTAGTAAAGTCTTTATTGTAATATGTTTTGTCAGGTCGATAGTCATTTCCAACGCATATAGAATCGAATATGTCGTTGTTTTTATAATCACTGCTTGTACAAGGGTCATTTTGATCAAACATTTTATACGTATTAGAAAAATATAGCAATTAGTGATATAGCGCGCGACGTTTGGACATATTTACGTTAGTCTATATCGAAGGAATGTTGACGAATGACGAACATATAGGTATATAGAATCGAGTATGTCGTTGCTTACATAATGTTTGTAATGCCACGTCATTGGAATCGGGTTAGTCGAATGTGTATTAAGGCAAATAGAAAGCCAAGCACGGTTTACACAAGGATTAAATTAGGCAGTGGAATATTAGCGCTTTTTTACTTAGGGATATATTTGTCGAATATTGAAAGCAAATTGAATGTCATTACCAATATATATGAGATCGATTATGTCGTTGTTTAAATAATTCAATCATCACTGTACTAAATAAATATATGTTGATCTTTTTCAAACTCCGCCGGAAAACATCGTCCTTAGATCTTTGCATGGACTATCCTTGAAACTCAAACTTCACGAAAATTGTATATACGCAGCCTGTAAACCTGATGCTTTGTCTTTGATGTATGCTGTCCTTGAACAAGAACTGTTCTTGTCTTAAGTGTTTTTCGTACTGTCTGTATTTCGGCGTGTGATGTATTTTGTTTCGTATACATATTAAAGACCTTGTACTGTTCTGTCTGTTCAGTGTGCAAATTATTTTTGACACTTTAAAATACTTTGTAACTTCTTAAATCTGTTTATGCTTATTGAAAAATGCACGTAACAGTCGTTTACGTATTTTTGTCATATCTGATGTTCAGTATGTGATTAAATGTGTGTATAATATTTGAATTGTGTTCAATTTACTTAATACTTTCTTTCAGTAAATTCGGAATTTGACAATAGCAATTAAGTTATTAAGGTGGAGTAATATACTAATATGGGCAACAAAATTGCAGCAACTTGCAACAAAATCTGATTTCTGCGCATGTTAATTGAAATGTTTTGTCAACATTTCTACTTAAAATGCGTTGAAATCAGATTTTGTTGCAGAAATTTTGGCTGCAGCAATTTTGTTGCGCGTATTACTCCAAAGTCCAACCTCGGTATTACTCCAACTTTAACAACAATTAATGCAGGCTACCCACATGTACGCAGCGCGTACCTATTTTTTATGCATGATACTTATGTTGAGGCATAGTAAATTCTGCACTATTACCCTCTATCCCAGAGGAGTACCCATGGACCCAATAAAAGCTAATCAATTTCTTGTAGAGGCAAACTCGGAGTGCATGTGTTGTGGGGCAAAATAATGATAAGAAATTTCGTGCCCTGCATCTTGCAGCAGCAAACCTCGGTCACAGAGGTGAAAGGAACATGCAAATCACTAGCCAACAAACACCAACACTTTTAACAAGTTAGTTAACCTCGTGCACTTGTAGAGACTGACTAATAACTTACAACATGTACGCAGTCAGGCTTTCTTGCCATCCTACTACTTTTCCTTTTTCCTACTTTTTTTCCTCTTTCCTACTTTTTTTATTAAAAATTGCTTGATTTTCCTACTTTTTCTCATAAAATCCTACTTTTTAAGACAGCTAATTGGGGAATCAGTATGTTATAGTTCTCGTAATTAGATCTATAGGACTCGTAATTTTTATTCCCTATTTGTGTCCCACATGATTAAGATCTCAGGAAGAGAAGAAGTACATTTTCCGAGTTTAAAATTGCATAGCGTCTCTAGAATCATAATCAATAAATAATGAAGACTCTGAAAGTGCCATTTCCGACGATCTAGAGATTCCAAATTTTCAACACCCTCTCCACCACCCCCCCCCCCCCCCACCCCCAGTTAATCAAGCATATGCCCCTGCTGCACAGTGTGGATTCACTGGATTGGTGTATGGTGCAGCCAAATCGACACATGCACTCACACGCATAATGTCTTAGCTTTTATACCGATGCAATTTAAAAGTTTTGAGAAAAAAATCCTGCATAGATGAATGAGTACAAAAAAATATTCACCAAAAATTCACACAACGTCCCCCATCAGATTCTAATGGTCTACCCCTTACGACATATATCTTAGGGCGCCAATTTTGTGTTATTTGCATCTCCAAAAACTCCTACTTTTGTCCTACGTTTCTACACATTTTCCTGCTTTATTCCTACTTTTCCTAAAATTCTAGTCCTACTTTTGTCCTACTTTTCTACACAAGGATGCCAGAAAGCATGGCAGTGCGTACCTATTTTTCTCATTCTGGTAGTTATCAATTCATTGACCTTAATCTGTATAAAAATATGGAATATAGCTTTTGTATTGTTTTGCGGAATACTTTGTGTAATACAATCGTAGATATCTACAATAGAGGCCAGCGTACATGCATATTTGATTTAAATACATAATCAACAATTTCATCTGATTCTGATAGCTGTCAACGGCTGTCAATGGACAACTTGCATATTAGACTAAATTTTAATCTAAGTAAAGAGAAGGGAATCAAACACAACAGGTAAAAAGAACGTAATGAAATTAGTAAATTGTAAAATTTGGTTGCGAAATGTTGTAAAAAACAGAAAACATAGCCTTGCGAAGTTTGCATTTTTCAGTATATTTGTATTACGTGCGGAAATTGTTACCATTTTCGGCTCGAAAAGGCAACAATTTCCGCACGTAATACAAACATACTGAAAATATGCAAACTTCGCAAGGCTATATTTTCTGTATTTTACAACATTTCGTAACCAAATTTTGCAATTTTACTGATTTTGATAAGTTCTTTACGGGAATTTACTTTTTTTAAGTTCTTTGTATGTTTGCATGGCGAAAAAATATAATAGTTTTGTTTGTGGAAACACCACGTATACTAAATTTATTACTTTTTTTGTCTAAATCAAAAATTAGTCTAACATGCAAGTTGTCTATTTATTGTCGTACATCGTCGTTGCTTAATGCATGTCGATGTATTGAAATTATAATATAAAAGTATCCACCGATATTGAAAAGTCCACTCAAAGTTTAGAGCTTTAAGTCTTAAAATAGTATACGTTTTCATTGTTTATATGTTCTCCAATCTGTGGTTATATCAAGGATTTGAGATATAACTGTGACATCCCAGATGCATCCAAGACTCGAGCTTTGAGTATACTCAGTTTACATTTCTCTTATAAATGTGTCAATATTGACCCATTCACTGACTCAGTGGACCCATTGCAGTAGGTTGTGTGAAATATCGGGATATGAGTCATATGACCATAATGTCCCTTACCATCTCCGTCCCCTCTGGGATTAGACACAAGATCTCGACCTTGAATTACTAGAACTAAAAATAACTGCTAAAAAAGACAAAACCCAGCCAGAAAAGGATAAAAATTACAAACGTTGCCCGAAGCAGTCAAAAGTTGCCCAAAATGTCAAAAGTTGACGAAAAGTTGCCGAGCATCTAAGTGTCATCATCTTGTGTCTAAGCCTAGTCCCCACCATCAAAATCTCCCCCGCAATCGCCACCCCCACCCCACAATCGCCTTCCCTGTACCCAATCGCCCCCTCCTTCCCAAAATCGTCGACGTAACCTCCCCAGTACCCACTGCCTCCAGACGTTCCATCGTATCAACAAATGTAGATGCAGTACAACACAATGCATACGAAACCGATTCACGATTGGAACGAGGACGGCGATAACCACAATTGCAGTCGTGCTAAGAGTCTAAGACCATCACAGTCAGATTTCGATTCACAGCCGAGTACAGGAGTTCACCAATTCGCTGAAGAATAAAGTCAACAACATTACTTCTCAAATTAGTACAGTATGCAGTCGGTTTTTCAAATTTATTTTTTTATTTCACATCGCGTTCATCCTCTCAATAATTGTTATATAACATTGAATTCTCTCTCTCAATATACGTATACTCTCAGTGGCTGTGCCCGTCAATGTCGAGCCGCACGTGTGCGCATTATCATCTGAGACGTGATTCAAGGGATGATACGCGTTGACAAATATATATGGCGTCCGTTTTACCAAAAGCATCGTCACGATGAGACCTTTCTTATTAGTCTTGCGTCAGAACCTATGGTCAGAACACATAAATTATTTTGTGACGTCAATGCGGATTTCGGTTCCGCTTCCTCTTTGCTTTGTTTTGCAAATGTGTACTCGGGGAAAATCCCGCAAATCTTTATTGATTCAAACTCATTCATTGGCAACCAAAATTTTTATTGCTTCATCTGAAAGAGCATGAAAAAATAAGCCGGCTGGCCGTTTAATGCTCTATACTATCTCATCTAGTTCCGAAGTTATACGCAAAAATGTGCAAAATATAAATTGCTGATTCAGCACAACATGTGACGTCATTAGTGAAGCATAGCTCAGTTATTATGGGCCCAAATCAAATGAAACTTTGCATACTGATAGTGCATGATGATACGCATTGCAAAACGCTTCTAATTTTGTTGCCAAGGTAACAATGTCGTTCCCAGGCCCCTTGCGCCAATTTTATAAAACAGCTTTATTCATGGTACTGATAAGGTTAAAATAATATCAGAAGTATGTGTACCATACCCATGCATGCCAAAAGTTTACTTGCATGATAATAATAATTCGAAAATGACATACACATGGATAAATGCAACTAGTTATTCAAAATCAGTGTAAGGGGCCTGGGAACGACTGTGTTGCCTGACAACAAAATTTGAAGTATTTTCCCATGCGTCTCATCATGTACTATCTGTATGCAAAATTTCATTTGATTTGAGGCAATAATAATTTAGCTATGCTTTAGTTTACTATTCAATTAACCTGAAGTTCAGGCCCTAATTTGAAATAGGGCCTGACACAAAACCTATCTAAACCGTGGGACGCCCACATGTTATTTTTAGACACAATCATACAATATGATTGACACATGTGACTGTTATGTGTTATAGATTTCATTGCACGAAAAATATCAGAGGGAAAATATAAAGATATTAATTTCATTTCATGTTATATTCTCATGAACATGTCCGCAGAGTGTGCATTTTAAACTTAAAATCCAAGGTACTTTTAAGAGTTCAGTTTCTCCATTTAATTTAACCAGAGCAAACAAAGATTTAGTCTGTTCTTTGCAACAGTGCAAGGACTGAATTCAACTTCAACTTTATTTAAACACGGTACTATTTCACAGTATATTAAAATATATGCAAATAGTTTTGTTCTCTGCGATCTACTTTCCGCAATTGGAATTAAAGTGCGTCAAGAAAATACGCTAAAATAATTTGTTTCATCATTAAACGAGGGATCTAAACAAACGGCTTGACTGCCAAGCTTTCTCAAGGTCTCAACTTGCTGGACGCGGATATACAATTTCTAACGGGATAACAACAGCAATAACGAAATTCTTTATCGTACCATGACGAAGGCGATATGGCTCAGAAAACAACGCTGGTAAGACCCGATAAATAAGACTTTCACCGAAGCCAGAGTTGGCAGAACGGCAAAGACATCTTGGGCCTTGGCTGTCAACAACAAGCTTTCGAATGCACGACTTTTGCTGTTCTTTAAGCGTCGTGTGTCCAAACTTCGTCAAAGATTTTGATAAAGCCCTTTCAAAATACTGTGTGTTTGATTTATTTTCTGCCATAAAGCATATTAAACAAAAGAAATTCGAAGAAATTCGACAATACTATTACGATAATCACAATGCAATTTGATACATGCGTTTGACCTTGCCACATTGACCTAACAATTTACAAAATATTGTTTATGTGAACTTCCAACCAATCAAAATCTTTCATGATGCTGATCAACCAATCAGATTTCCCGTCCACCAGGTGGACGGGAATCCCACGGTTTAGATAGGTTTTGTGTCAGGCCCTATTCTGTGATTAGGGCCTGAACTTCAGGTTACTATTCAATAAACATACTTACCCAACTAATGACGTCACACGTTGTGCTGAATCAGCAATTTATATTTTGCACATTTTTGCATATAACTTCGGAACTAGATGAGATAGAATAGAGCATTAAACGGCCAACCGATTTATTTTTTCATGCTCTTTCAGATGAAGCAATCAAAATTTTGGTTGCCAATGTCCTTTAATGAGTGCAAGAGTAATGTTTATATTTTCAATGCAGTGTGTGATAAAATTTAGAAGAACTGTCCCTCTTGGACGCTGTATAGATATGACTGAACAAACAAAGCAGTCATGGCTGCAAAAGAGACGAAGGCAAAAACTTGTCTCGTTCGTTTATGCCTATGGTCGATTTTTATGGCCGTGTTTATATATTTTTATTTTTCAGCGCGTTTTAGTAAAATTCAATAGTCAAACTATCGTGCATGTGCTGTTCCATGCTGAAAATCTGCAGGAAAATGCTACAACTCAACAAGTGAACAACTAAAAATAAAACACAAAAAATAATGTTAAAATACGTAAACATGCACGGTCATATAAAAATCGACCATAAACGAACGAGACAAGTTTTTGTCTTCGTCTCATGCAGCCATGACTGCTTTGACCTCTTTTTGTTCATTCATATTTACAACCTCCAAAAGGGACATTTCTTCTAAATTTTATCATATACTACATTGAAAACATCATGTCTTACACACTAACAGAGTTTGAATAAATAAAGTTTTTTTAAAATCGGCCTGTATTTTTCCATTTTGCGCAAACAAAGTTTTCAAATGTTCTTAATTAAAAATATAAATGTCCCCCTCCGCTCCCATGACTGGTTCGTTTACTCTGATGTAACTGTCATTGGTTTATTTGGTATAGTCCGTGCAAGACCATAGTAAAACTTGCAATATTCGCAGGCTACTTGCAATACAGCTTTTGTATTTTTGGTCGATAGTCGGTTTACTTTGTGTTGTATTAATAACACAAGATCTTTTACATGCAGTACATATTTAACATTTATTCTGATAGTTATCAATCGGTTGGCTTTAAATTGTACATACATACATACATACATTCATACATAATTTATTAGTTGCTCCTCGAGAGGCTTTTCATCTCTAATTTACAGTACTTCTTAATATTACTAACTATATATCGCTATATTTACAAAGGTTCAGTTGAGTTTACGAATATGCTATGATATCAAAAAATCCAATATGGAACATTGGTTCAAATTTACATTTGCAGAGGATTACTTATTTAAGAAATCTAGCTGTGAGAAGGTTTTTCTTTATATTAAGTTTAAAACATTGGACTGTCATTCTAGATTTTAGTGAGTCGTCAAGGCTATTCCAAATTGTGGAAGCCCTGTATAAAAAAGACTTCTGAGCTTTAGAAGTTCTACAAAGAGGTTTATGTAGCTGTTTATACGCGATTACTAATTTCAGAACGAGTAACAAACTTTTGGCATAGGTAATCAGGTGCTAACTTGTTCATACATTTATACGTCATAACGCAATCCCGGAGATACAAAATATTCTCAACGGGAAGCCATCAGTTCAGTTGCTTTAAAGCAAGTATTATATGGTCGTATTTATACGAGATCCTGTCATTATGCGTGCAGCAAAATCAAATTTGCACTGTCTTAAGTTTACAAATGTTCTTCTGACTCGTTGAGGACTAAACAGTGGAACAATAAAACAGCTTGGAAAAGACATAAGATTGTATTATCATTTCCAGAGTTGATTGCCTAAATAAGTTCTCGACTCTATTTATTTGATGCAGTTTCTTCATACAAGATGATACCGATTTCTTGATGTGTTCATCAAAAAATAGACTTGGGTCCATAGTTAAGCCAAGACACGCCGGGTCAGCTGTTCTCACAAATCGTTCATCTAATATAAACCGTTTTTCAATACATTTCGGATGGACATGAAACTTGCTACATCAATATAACTTTCCATTCCGAACAATCGTATGTTTTTTATTTTTGAGATTTAACGGTTTTTGGCGGGAAAATGACGTCACGAAACCTCCAGTTAAAATTTATTTTCAATATCTTAATAGTTTTTAAGCAGAATGTGGAAGATCATGTCATGAAGAGTTCAAAAATTGAAAACAGATTTTAAATATCTTAATCTAATCACGAGATATACAGGGAGTTTAGAATCGAATTTTCCACCCGATTTTGTTACTATTTTTACTATTTTAGTACAGAATCTGTACTAAAACCACTAATTCTGTTTTGTGATTGGCGCGGTTTAATCAAAGAATCGCCCCGTTGAACCAGAGCCTTCGCGACATTTCAATTTATTATTTACTGTCGAAGGCTCTGGAATCCAGGGTAACTGGTTGTAGGCCTACAGTTTTCCCGAGAAACGTCAATGAGATATCGGCTGGAATGTGTTTCAGCATCTGCTGTGTTCCAAAGAACATAATCTTCGTTTTATCTGGGTTAGCAAGCAGGCAATTGTTAGTTAAAGGCACAGTTCAGCCTTTTGAACGATGGTTTTTAAGGCGCATTTCAGCCCTTTTAATTGAAAAAACTAACTAGGAAAATCAATTAAGCATAATTCAAGATCACCAAACTTAATGTTTTTAACATTCTAAAACATTTTTATTGTCAAAAACATCGAGTTTACTGATTTTGAATTATGCTTAATTGATTTTCCTAGTTAGTTTTTGCAATTAAAAGGGCTGAAATGCGCCTTAAAAACCATCGTTCAAAAGGCTGAACTGTGCCTTTAAGTAAGTAGCAACCGTGAAAAGGTCATTGTGTAAAAATCAGGAATATAGCTTTTGTATTTTTTTGCGGAATGGCTCTCTGTAATGACAATAGAGGCGCGTTGGCGAAGTGGTTAGCGCACCTGCCCGTCACATCTAAGGCCGCAGGTTCAAGCCTCAGTGAGATCTTCCTAATGCGACTCGAACCCAGTCCTCATGTGAAAAGAGTAAAAGTCAACGCTCTGCCGAAAGTCGTGGGTATCCTCCGGTTTCCTCCCACAGGGAAAGGTGACAGGGTGAGTTAGGTGAAAGGGCCCACAGTAATATTGGTATATGCTGTTGTGGTTACCCTACCCTAGTTGGCAAAGCTGAAATAAATAAATAAATAAATAAACATATTTAATTCACTTGACATATTAATTATCAATTTCATTGGACTCCAATTTGGCTGTCAATTGATTATCCATGATCGTCTGTTGCATGCATGTGAATGAGTATTGAAATTATAATATAAAAGTATCCACCAGTATTGAAAAGTCCACTTCAAGCTTAGAGCTTAGTATAGGTTTTTATATATAGTTTATATGTTCGCCTGAGTTCTCTCTTACATCTGTGGTTTAGTATGTCAAGGACTTGAGATATAACTGTGACATCCCAGACGCATCCAAGTCTCTCGAGCTTTGACTGATATACAGTATAGTCAGGGACGCCGGAACGATAATAGGGCAAAGGGGGGCGGACGCACACCAAGGGCACCTTTACTGAAAATGTTTTTTTTCACTGGCGACCTCCCCCCCCCCGTCGCCAAAAAAATTTCGGTCAGTGTACCATTTTAGGGGTCAAAAATTTCCGGACATACAAAAATTTTCCGTGAACCCAAAAATTTTTCCGGATATCTTAAATTTTCGCCATTTCTTCAAAATATTTTTCTAAATTCCAAAAATTTCCCAAAATTTTTATAAATATAAACTATAAATTACCTGAATCTCGTGATTTTCCTACACAAAGCATCGTTGGAAATGTGATTTATCACGTATTATTTTATAACTAAAAGGGCACTTCTGCCCCCCCCTGCCCCCCCTAGCAAAAGGCAAGGGGGGCAGCCGCCCCCCCTGCCCCCCCAGTTCCGGCGTCCCTGAGTATAGTTATATTTGTCTTATGTATATTGACCCATTGCAGTAGTTTGTGTGAAATATCGGGATATCATGACCATGGTGTCCCTTAGCATCCACCTCCGTCCCCTCCACCACCCCCACAATCGCCCCCTCCCCCACAATCGCCCCCGCCGCCGTAACCTCCCCGGTATACTCCACCATCACCACTGCCTCTTGACGCTCCACCGAAACAAATGCAGATGCAGAACAGCACAATGCATATGAGACCAATTGGAACGAAGATAGCGATAAGCACAATTTTATTAGTCTTGCTATTAACACCGGTACCATCATCACAGTCAGATTTCGATTCACAGCCGAGTGCAGGAGTCGCCAGTTCACTGAAGAATAAAGTCAACACTACAAGAACCAAATATCTCTCCATTTTAGAATTCTTCTTGCTTCTTCGCGTAGATTGTATTACTTTGCTGGATTTCAAATTCGAACAGTATGCAGTCCGTTTTTCAAATTGAATTTTTCACTTCACATCGCGTTCACCTTCTCAATAATTGAAATCTGCTGTGTTGGTGTAATGTACTATGGTGAATAAGATGTTTGTGTGATGTTACTCTGAGTGTATATCCACACCGGGCAGGCTTGAAAAATATGCCTGGCCACGGCGGGATTCGAACCTACGACCTTTGGAATACTAGCCCAATGCTCTTCCAACTGAGCTACGCGGTCAGGACGGTTCGAGTAAGCGATATTTCGGAACTGAGTCTAGTTCCTTCGATATCAGTATAATCTAATATTTATGAAATCTGCTGTGTTGGTGTAATGTACTATGGTGAATAAGATGTTTGTGTGATGTTACTCTGAGTGTATATCCACACCGGGCAGGCTTGAAAAATATGCCTGGCCACGGCGGGATTCGAACCTACGACCTTTGGAATACTAGCCCAATGCTCTTCCAACTGAGCTACGCGGTCAGGACGGTTCGAGTAAGCGATATTTCGGAACTGAGTCTAGTTCCTTCGATATCAGTGTAATCTAATATTTATGAAATCTGCTGTGTTGGTGTAATGTACTCAGGTGAATAAGATGTTTGTATGATGTTACTCTGAGTGTATATCCACACCGGGCAGGCTTGAAAAATATGCCTGGCCACGGCGGGATTCGAACCTACGACCTTTGGAATACTAGCCCAATGCTCTTCCAACTGAGCTACACGGTCAGGACAGTTCGAGTAAG